CGGGGGGCGGGGGGAGCCGGGCTGGGGCAGTTCCCCCCCCCCCAAGCCCCAGGGGAGAAGTGGGGGCGGGTCTCCCAGGCGGCCGAGGGCCGCACAGTCAAGTTCTTCAGCCCCTCTCGGCGCTTTGTTTCCCGTGGACCTACCGGGTGACTGGGGCGGGGGCTGCATGTTCCAAGGCTGCCGAGCCGGCCGCTCCCCCCAGTCACAGAGTCCTAGACCCGGAGAGCTGGAAGAGCCTTGCAGGGAATTCCCGTCTGGACGCTCCACGGTTTGTGAGAAAAAGAAAAAGCAGATTTTCTGTCCCGCGCTCGGTGTCTGCAAGAACCTTTCATTTGGCAGATGAAGAACTAACCACGGTATTTACCTTAGGAGTCTACAAACAATGAGTCCTTCGTCCTCACCCTCTGGGAGAAAACCACTGAACCACAGGAGGTCAGTATTGTCTACAGGCATTCCCTACATTGCTACTGCTTACTGGACTCTTAGGGTACGGCTCTACACTGTCTTTTTTTCCGGAAGAGGTATGCAAATGGAAGGAGGTTTTTGAAAGGGGAGGGGTTCTGACATTTGCCCTGTGTAACTGTGCTCAGGACAGCACAGTTAATGAGCTCCTGTCTCCCTGTCTTGGATGGAGCCACAAGCTGGTATCTCTGTCCACCCAGAGAAAACCCAAGCACCACTCCTTGACCAGAGGATCCCCTGGTTGGTCGCAGCCCTATCACCCACTCGCTCAGAGGTCCCCTGCGCCAGCTGCAGTCTTGTCCCTCATCTGCCCAGAGAAGGGCTGCCAGATGGTTTAACCAAAAATACCAAACACTGCCCCCCCCCCCCGCACCCAAAAAGCAAAAAAAATTTTTTTTAATTAAAAATCAGCATGGTAAGCATGGTATCCGGTATTTTCGCTTCCTGGCAGGGAAAAGCCCAGAAAATACCGGATATTTTCGGTGTCCGGTATTTTCTGAATTTACCACCAGACAGGAGCTGAAAATACCGGACTGTCCGGGTCAATACTGGACACCTAGCAATCCTAGCCCAGAGAAGCCTCACACTAGCTGTAGCTGTGCCTCCTCTCCCTTCTCCAGATCCAAGCCGCTGCATTTCATAGAATCAAAGAACTGGAAGGGACCTCTTCATCAAGTCCAGTGCCCTGCATTCATGGCAGGAGAAGCACCATCTAGACCAGGAGTGGGCAAAATAGAGCAGCTTGCCACATCCAGCCCACCAAACCCTTGGCTCCATCCCACTGCAGGACACTCAGACAACCTCTCTGCCTGCCATGGCGCCGCACATTGCCAAAACGGTCAGATGCTAGGGCCAGCTTGTGTGTCTCTGTGTGACCAGAGCCACTTTGGGGGGAGAGGAGTTTCTGCACCCTATTCCTGCCCCCAGCTGAAAATTGGTCAATGGGAGCTGCAAGGGCAGTGCTTGTGGGTGCATACAACATAGAGAGACCCACTGCACCCCCCTCAAAGGGCACAGCAAGTAGACACACAGATGCTGGTCCCAGACCCTAGCCACTTTACATAGCATATGGGGATGCAGCTGTCAGGCAACCAGCCTGAGGGTCCTGCTGGGCCACCAGAGCCTGCAACTGGCACCCCACCCCTTTCCAGACCTCAGTACCCTGCCCCACGTCACAACCCCCTCCTGTACTCAAACTCTTTCACTGACCCTGTCCTCTCCCCAGGTCAGAATTCCCACCCACACACTCTATGGAAATGCTGTATCAGATCCCACACCCTCTCCATTGATAGCTCAGGAAAGTGCGGCTGCTTACCACTTACCAAATTCTTGACTCAGCCTGCCATTGAAAATTGCCTACCTCAGTTTAGACCTTTCCCAACAGGTGTTTATCTAATCTGCTCTTAAAAAATCCACAATGATGGAGATTCCATAATTTCCCTAAGCAATTTATTCCAGTGTTTAACCATCCTAACAGGATGTTTTTCCTAATGCTCAACATAAACCTCCCTTGCTGCACTATAAGCCCATAGCTTCTTGTTCTATCATCAGAAGTCAAAGAGAATAATTTTTTACCCTCCTCCTTGTAACCCGCTTTTTGGTACTTGAAAACTGCTATCTTGTCTCCTCCCAATCTTCCCTTTTCTAAACTAAACAAGCCACTTCTTTTAGTCTTCCCTTAGAGGTCATGTCTTCTAGACTTTCATTCATTTTTGTTGCTCTTCTCTGGACCTTCTCTAATTTCTCCACATCTTTCTTGAAAGGTGGTACCCAGAACTGAACACAATACAGGCAGTCCCCGGCTTACGTCAGTCCGACTTTTAAGAGGAATAAGGGATCTTTCGGAAAAGGCTTTATTTTCCGAAAGATCCCCGTCTAGACTGGCGCTTTTTGCCAGCAAAGCCCCGAGCCGGACACATTTCAAATATCTTACAGGTTAGGATAGTTACCCAAATCATGTGGAAAATCAAATTGAACCAAATATTTTTTAGATAAGCAAAAAGTCATATTTTTTTTTAACAGACAGATATACCCACTGATATTTTGGTTTTTGTAACAAATAGAAATTCCAAAATACCTCTTACGGTCACACACTCACTCACACATTAATATCTCTTGTGTTTCCACAACACTTCAGAGCCAAATAAAAGCAGAAAGAATTGGAAGAGTCATGAAAGTTTCTTTGCATCAGATGTCTGGCAAAAGAGGTTTGGATAAGTATCTGAATCCACAGGTCTCTGTATTTCCCCAGCGCTAAATACAACATAATGCCAGTACCACTGTATTGCACAAAAATATCAATGTATTTTTGGCAAAGAAATTGATGGAATCAGCAAAGTATCCTTATGATAAATGTCATTTTGCAAACCATTCCCATATCCAGAACCACTGGAGCTGTAAGAAACAGTTATGGAGCCTTACCAATTGTCTGTATATTCTCATCAACCAAGGGTACCTGCGATATCAGTTAGGTTAGTTTGAAATAAGATAGTGGTGGGCAACCTGTGGTCCATCAGGTTAATCTGATTCTAGGCCACAAAATATTTTGTTAGTGGATGCCCTTCTCTGTTCTTGGCCAATAGGAGCTGTGATGTGTGGTGCCTGCAAATGATCAACATCAGCAACATCAAATTACTTTGGGCCACATTTGTCCTGCAGATTGCCCACCACAACACTAAGACCAGTCAGAGAAGAATTTCATTTATTTCTGATTGCAGTATGGTTCTTTGGTACAGCAAGAAACCTCCTTTTCCTAAGGATCTCTGGCCTACCTATATTGTCATCCCACAGGTATTCTGGGGAAAGTATTTTAGTTGGTTTGTGGTAAACAAAATACTTGTTTAAGTGACTCTCTTCTTGCCATATTGCCTCAATTCCATTGTCTTTGTCCACCATGATGGCTTCATGGCATTTCTTGGTCAGCTTGTAAACCTCCTTTACTGTTCCTCCAAAAAATGCTGCAGCATAGTAAAAGTCACCCTCATCATGGGGCACATAAGCTTGAGAAGCAGGTCGACGTTCATAGGTGAAAGACCGACGCTCTGAACCGTAGAATCCTGGGTGTAGTGTGCCAAACAAGTTGCTCAGGATTTCTACTCCAACTAAGTCATTAAACCTCATGTCTACGTCAACACACACAAGGTAGTCGACCTCATTAATGAACTGCTTCTTGGAGAAGTGGTTGATCATTTCCATGCGTCGCATAGAGATTTCTTGCCATCTCGAGTAGTTTTGGACTTGCAGAACTACTACGTTCCTTCCTTCTTTGAGCTCAACTTTAGGAACTTCTTGTGGTCTGTCTGTGAAAATGTAATAGTTTACTTTATGTCCAACCATAAAGTACATCTCTGCAGTTTCTAAAAATGTCTTGAGAAATACGACATACCTACACAAAAAAAGAAATTATCTATTAGAAATAAAAAGCACGGTGGGGAAGACTGGAAGAAGGGGACATAGAGAGCAAAAAAGTGAAGTACAGAAGATGGAGTAGAGCGGGGGAAAGGGTGGCAGTGTAAGAAGGGGCAGACCTGTACAGTATCATGAGGGTGAGGATGAAAATACTGAACTTAGTGTGGGAAAAGATAAGAGGTGGTAAAAGGACTGCTGAGGGCTGGTGACTTGGCTGGACTCACGAGAGTGATCTAGGATTCAGCTGTTGTTATTTAGGGAGAGGAAGATGAACCAATTAAAAGCACTTGTTGATGATCAAAGCAGTGTAAATATCTGGCTTTTTTCATAGGAGAAAACAACAATTAATATAAGATTTCTATTAAGAAGGAACAAATCACTGTGATGCCACCTAACAGGCTTTGTTGCAAGCAGGAATTGATAATGCTCATGCCCCACCAAAATTACTGTTCTGTTTTAATCAGAAACAATGTTTTAAAAAATATTTGTTTTGAGTTTCCTGGTGAGGATTACTTCCTTCCAAATCCTGGTGATTATCAACCTTCATCTCTTGAGACACATTCAGCTCTTCAGGACATTGTACATGACTCTGATGGAGTCTGTGCTATAGGAGCGAGTGAGATCTTAGATACTGTGCTGATTACTCGAGTGCTCTGCCCATGAAAACGTGGAAATGCCGAGAAATGAAGCACAGACACCATGGCGCTTGATTCATCTCAACAGCCAGGAAGGGAGTCTACCTGGGAAAAGTGAAGATCTCACATATACCCTGTCTGTATCTGAACCAAGTATTACAAGAGCTCCCCGCCATGTAGCCAACGATGAGCCAAGATCTCTGGCAGTGATTTGACATCAATGCCTGAGAAACAGCCTGGGCACTAGAACCACCAGCACTCAGGAGCCTTATCTTGCTGTCATATTGGAGAGAGCCAGCAAAGGAACCTGTAAAAAAATCCTTTCAAACCTCTCAAGAGTAGAAGGGTGAGATGAGGCACCAGACTTCAACTCACACCCAATAGGAGAGAGGGGGCTTTACAGTTACACTGCAAATATCCAAGCTCCCTTCATTTGACTATGAGAGAGATGAACATGAGAGTTGTACACTGTAGCTCTTAGAAATTAACATCAACCTCATTTGTTGCCCCTTTAGACCGCAGTAGCAGTGAATGAGAAACATCCTCCCGGTCTTTGTCCTTGTTTGGCTGCTCTTTATACAGTAAACAGATATATAGCACAGAGTGAAGACTGGAATTGTAAATTCACAGTAATTTCCAATGCAGTTACTGGCCCCATGCAGTTTGGATGCGCCAGAAGACCTTTCTGCAACATATTTAGCCTTGCTTGAAGAAACTGATTTCTGATTTTAAGCTAAGCACTTTTAAGTAAGCCCATTTCTCATTTCAAAAAAAATGTAAAGGTGCACCAGGAATCATTTAGCAACCTTCCCTATAAAACAAAGGGTACAAATGTGCTACTTATAGCCAACATATTATTGGGAAGAGATTCTAATTGATATCGATTCTTGGATAGTGCCAGAATCATTGTGCCAGGAACATATATAGGGGTGTTACATTGCTTGGAGTTTTGTCTTTCAAAGTCCTGCTTGCATGTAATCATTATCAATCCTATTAAACTTTTTACAAGAGTGGGAAAGTTAGCTCCAGTATCCTGGACAAATTCAATCCTCATTTCTATCATTCCATCTTCCCAGATTGGCCCTGTATTTTCAAAATGACCTGGTATTCTGTGCTTTCTGTCCTAATGTGTCGTGTCTCATTGATGTACAACATTGAAAAGTTGTTGCATCTGATTGGTGGCCAAATCAACCTTGCATATATTTATTTAGCAGCTTATTCAGCACAGGTACAAAAACCAACTTATCCACGCTTAACAGGATAATAATGGAAAAATAATCTTGATATTTTACTATACTTTGCTCTTGGTTCTGCCTTGGGCAGGGGGCTGGACTTGATGACTCCTGAGGTCTCTTCCAGCTCTATGATTCTAAGAGAGGCAGCAGTGGAAGTGATTTTTTTTCTCCCCGTCCAAACCAGCCCCACAACTTGGAACTGCTCCAGGTCTCACCAGGGCTGCCGTAGCTGCAGCCATGCGCTTTTCTCACCAGCACTGGGGTGTGCGCAGAGCTGCTGTTAACATCCAGGCACGCAGCTCTGAACATTCAATTTGACATACACGTGCCACTTCCCCCTCCCTGATCCCCTTTGCAGGGCAAAATCCCAGACATTTTTTGCCAAATTTCACTAGCGTTGATGTACCCCCCGGACTTCTCTCGTGTATCCAAAAGGTTATGTGTACCACAAGCTTCAGGATCTCTACCAAGCATTTATAAACCTCAACTACCCACCCAGAGAAATAAAAAAGCAAATTGAAAGAGCCAGACGAATACCTAGAAACCATCTACTTCAAAACAGACCCAAGAAAACCAACAATAGAACACCACTTGTCATCACCTACAACCCCCAACTTAAACCTGTCCAACACATTATCAATAAACTACAGCCTATATTGGAACAGGATACCATACTCAAAGAGGCTCTGGGAGACAGACCCATAGTCTCCTATAGACAACCACCTAACCTCAAGATCATTCTTACCAACCACCACAGGACATACCACACTAATACCAACCCTGGTACCTTCCCTTGCAACAAACCCCGTTGCCAGCTTTGTCCACATATTCATTCTGCTGATACCATTATTGGACCCAACCAAGTGAGTTATAAGATCAAGAACACATATCCCTGCGCATCCAGAAATATAATCTATGCTATCATGTGCCGAAAGTGTCCGTCTGCTATGTACATTGGACAAACATCTCAGACACTTCGCCAAAGGATTAATGCCCACAAAACAGATATCAGACAAGATCACAAAGAGAAAACAGTTTCTTGCCACTTTAACCAGAAAGGACACTCTCTAAATGACTTAGCCACCTGCATTCTGCTACAAAGACCTTTTACATCTGCACTTGAAAGGGAATCCTCTGAACTGTCATTCATGTTAAAATTCGACACTTACCAACAAGGACTTAACAAGTCTTTGAACTTTCTCACCCATTACCAAGACAGTTTCCCCAATTATCACCTGTAATACCATTAACTCACAAACATCCCACTCTCCCTACCTTTAATATCAGCAATTCACAGACACTTACCTTCCTTCCTCCCCCTTCCCACCCCCCCGCATCCCCCTTCTGTTCTGCAATGTGATTTGTCCTTTTCATATTTGTTCATTTTTTTAAATTGTATCCTTTGGTATATATGGTTGTGACTACTTTCTTCCACTATTTGATCTGAGGAAGTGGGTCTGGCCCACGAAAGCTCATCATCTAATAAACCATCTTGTTAGTCTTTAAAGTGCTACATTGTCCTGCATTTTGCTTCAACTACCCCAGGCTAACACGGCTACATTTCTATCACCAATCTGGAGGGGAGCTAGAGCGTTAGTGTGGGAACCTTGAGTCTCGAGGGCCACACTCACGTGAGCTGGGGTATTAGGTTCCTCACCCCTGCTTTAAAAACAAAACCTCTTACTCTTAAAAATCGATCCCCGTATCTCTGGTCGGACCAGCTTCACGCAGGTCCTCGGGGATGGAAAACTGCAGCAAACTGTATGAACAGAAACAAACAGAAGCCCCAATCGCAGCTGGAGGTGGGGCGAGGCTGCCCCAGCAGGGACACAACGGGGCAGCCGCCCCCCACCAGATCAGGAAAACAACCGCGCCATTCCCCGGCCAGCAGGAAGGCGAGTGCCGCTGCAAGGCTCCGCAAGGGAGGTGGGCGGCAGAGGGGTGTTTGTGCGCGGCCGCGCGCCTTCAGCGGCAACTCCCCTGGTGCCCCCTTCTCTAGTCCAGCCAGGCCTAAAATGCTCAGTGCTTAGAAGGCGGGTGGGGAACCTAAGGCCTGGGTGCGTGGGGCTCCTCCACCGTCGCCCCCTCCCCACGCCGTGGGGCTGGAGCGCACAAAGCGACTAGGCTGGGCCCTGCAGTGCTCTGGCGCCAGGGGGACGTTTCTCCGCTCAGCTGGGGGCCAGGCAGGGAGGCTTTTCTGTCGGTTGGTTTGTCTGTCACCTGTTTGCCCCCCAATTCTCAGCCACTCCCCCCCTCTCCCCACACGCCCCCACCCAGGACGCTCTCGGCCTCTGCAGGAGAACGACAGGCTTAAAACGTCAGCATCTGGTCTACACTGCAGCTCTTACAGTCAATATCATTGGTGGGAAATCCCAGATCCCAATTTCCTGACTGTTGACACAGCTTTGAAGACCTCATTATAACAGGCATCATCTTTCCATCCCAACAGGGCTGAGGGTTACTTTCTACATGTGCAAGTCCTGTGAGGGGCGGCCTGTCCTTGCTCCTCCCCTATCCTCCGCCAGCACCTCCACAAGCCACAAAACTACTGATCTGAAGCAGGCAATAAGGAAAGGCGCTGAGCCACAGGGCCCACCAGTAAGCAGGTTGTGATGGGGGAGGGAAAGGCATTGATAGCTGGCTGCCTGAAGGCTGCTGAGTACCCAGCATTATTTCCATGGACCCCAGAACACCCATGGAGTCGGTACCTAGGGCTGCCAGTGTTGGAGACTGAGCCCAGTCCTACACAACACACACACGGAAGCGGCGCACCCAAAGCAGGGGGCCCGGAGCAGTCTCCCTGATTTGCCGTACCCTAGGGACGGCTCTGCTATCAGCTGCAGTGCATGAATAATGGCGGTAAATACCATACCTTGCCATCCTTATCTCTGCTGCTGGGGTGACTTTGCCTTCAGAGCTCAGATCCCAGCCAGCGACCAACATTCTCAGGCTGCTCAGCCCTGAAGGCAGCGCTGCCACCAGCATTACTGCAACCTCCTCCCCCCGCTACAATTATCTTGTGATACCCCTTCAGCTCCTTTTTGGGCCAGGACCCCTACAATTACAACACCTTGAACTATTAGATTTAAACAGCTAAAATCATTAAATGTATTGTTTTAAAAATCCTGTGACCATGAAATTGATCAAAATGGACCATGAATTTGGTAGGGCCCTATCCAGGATTAACAAGCACTTCCTTGTATCATGCACAGTTGTCAAAAAATACTTATGTTAATAAATAGTTCCTTAATCTGTCTTTGCATAGCATGTGTGGGTCCATCACAAGCCACCAAGTATTTTCCTTCATTTACAAATCTGATAAAGCCCTGCACAACATGAAAGTGAAATTCTTCCTTTGAAAGAAGGACTCCTGAGGAAAGTTTTTCTTCCCAGTTACATGGTTCTATTTCTGAAATATTCCACCCCAAGTAGAGTGATAACTAGGGCTTGACAAATGGCGGCGAAAACCGCTTGCAGGCCCCGTACTGCGCATGCTCCAGAGCCACAAGGCGCATGCGCACGCTGCCAGGGCCAGACCGAGCCATTCCAGGACCCCGGGCAGACAGTTTAATTGTGACCCGGGTTGGGGGAGGGCACATGCGAGGCCCCGCCCCCACACCGGCGCATGGGTGTACAGCCTAGGGCTGCCCAGGGCGTGCCAAGCCTGACCATGCAGGGCCCTGCAGCCATGGGGGGAAGGGTGCTTTTGGCCAGTGCTGCAGAGGTTAATGTGGTCCCCACCCCGGGCTGCCGCTGCAGGGTGGCCGCTGGGAGCTGCTGCAGCCCGCGATCCAGGAGCCAGGTGTGCAGCATCTGATGGCAGCTATAAGGGACACTATGCGCCCCTTACAGCTGCCATCAGGCACCCCCCATAGGTTGGCACCCTGGGCAGCTGCCCGGCTGACCTATGCCTTAATCCGGCCCTGCATGCCGCAAATGAACGGGGTGCACGGCTGAAATCTACTCGCTACGGGTAGTTCTTCCAGCAGAAAATATGCTAATGAGGGACCCAGTAGCATTAGTCATGGTCTCATTAGCATATTTTCTGCCATTTCTTTTTGGGCAGGGGGTTCTTGCGCAAAAAGAAGCAGTGTTGAATTTTTTTTTTCCACAAAACCCCTGTTTTGCTCAAAAACCTTATGCCTGTCCGGGACAGGCATAAGGATCTTGTACAAAATGGTGTTTTTGCTAAAAAACAAAAACAAAAAAAAATCCACACTGCTTAGTTTTCTGCATAAAACATAGTTGCTTCCATAGTTGCTAATCCTTTCAGTCCCCCTCTCTGTGGGTATGTCTACACTACCACCCTAGTTTGAACTAGGGTGGTTAATGTAGGCAACCGAAGTTGCAAATGAAGCCCGGGATTTGAATTTCCCGGGCTTCATTTGCATCTTGCCGGGTGCCGCCATTTTTAAATCCCCGCTAGTTCGGACTCCGTGCCCGCGGCTACACTGGTGGGAAATCCCAGATCCCAATTTCCTGACTGTTGACACAGCTTTGAAGACCTCATTATAACAGGCATCATCTTTCCATCCCAACAGGGCTGAGGGTTACTTTCTACATGTGCAAGTCCTGTGAGGGGCGGCCTGTCCTTGCTCCTCCCCTATCCTCCGCCAGCACCTCCACAAGCCACAAAACTACTGATCTGAAGCAGGCAATAAGGAAAGGCGCTGAGCCACAGGGCCCACCAGTAAGCAGGTTGTGATGGGGGAGGGAAAGGCATTGATAGCTGGCTGCCTGAAGGCTGCTGAGTACCCAGCATTATTTCCATGGACCCCAGAACACCCATGGAGTCGGTACCTAGGGCTGCCAGTGTTGGAGACTGAGCCCAGTCCTACACAACACACACACGGAAGCGGCGCACCCAAAGCAGGGGGCCCGGAGCAGTCTCCCTGATTTGCCGTACCCTAGGGACGGCTCTGCTATCAGCTGCAGTGCATGAATAATGGCGGTAAATACCATACCTTGCCATCCTTATCTCTGCTGCTGGGGTGACTTTGCCTTCAGAGCTCAGATCCCAGCCAGCGACCAACATTCTCAGGCTGCTCAGCCCTGAAGGCAGCGCTGCCACCAGCATTACTGCAACCTCCTCCCCCCGCTACAATTATCTTGTGATACCCCTTCAGCTCCTTTTTGGGCCAGGACCCCTACAATTACAACACCTTGAACTATTAGATTTAAACAGCTAAAATCATTAAATGTATTGTTTTAAAAATCCTGTGACCATGAAATTGATCAAAATGGACCATGAATTTGGTAGGGCCCTATCCAGGATTAACAAGCACTTCCTTGTATCATGCACAGTTGTCAAAAAATACTTATGTTAATAAATAGTTCCTTAATCTGTCTTTGCATAGCATGTGTGGGTCCATCACAAGCCACCAAGTATTTTCCTTCATTTACAAATCTGATAAAGCCCTGCACAACATGAAAGTGAAATTCTTCCTTTGAAAGAAGGACTCCTGAGGAAAGTTTTTCTTCCCAGTTACATGGTTCTATTTCTGAAATATTCCACCCCAAGTAGAGTGATAACTAGGGCTTGACAAATGGCGGCGAAAACCGCTTGCAGGCCCCGTACTGCGCATGCTCCAGAGCCACAAGGCGCATGCGCACGCTGCCAGGGCCAGACCGAGCCATTCCAGGACCCCGGGCAGACAGTTTAATTGTGACCCGGGTTGGGGGAGGGCACATGCGAGGCCCCGCCCCCACACCGGCGCATGGGTGTACAGCCTAGGGCTGCCCAGGGCGTGCCAAGCCTGACCATGCAGGGCCCTGCAGCCATGGGGGGAAGGGTGCTTTTGGCCAGTGCTGCAGAGGTTAATGTGGTCCCCACCCCGGGCTGCCGCTGCAGGGTGGCCGCTGGGAGCTGCTGCAGCCCGCGATCCAGGAGCCAGGTGTGCAGCATCTGATGGCAGCTATAAGGGACACTATGCGCCCCTTACAGCTGCCATCAGGCACCCCCCATAGGTTGGCACCCTGGGCAGCTGCCCGGCTGACCTATGCCTTAATCCGGCCCTGCATGCCGCAAATGAACGGGGTGCACGGCTGAAATCTACTCGCTACGGGTAGTTCTTCCAGCAGAAAATATGCTAATGAGGGACCCAGTAGCATTAGTCATGGTCTCATTAGCATATTTTCTGCCATTTCTTTTTGGGCAGGGGGTTCTTGCGCAAAAAGAAGCAGTGTTGAATTTTTTTTTTCCACAAAACCCCTGTTTTGCTCAAAAACCTTATGCCTGTCCGGGACAGGCATAAGGATCTTGTACAAAATGGTGTTTTTGCTAAAAAACAAAAACAAAAAAAAATCCACACTGCTTAGTTTTCTGCATAAAACATAGTTGCTTCCATAGTTGCTAATCCTTTCAGTCCCCCTCTCTGTGGGTATGTCTACACTACCACCCTAGTTTGAACTAGGGTGGTTAATGTAGGCAACCGAAGTTGCAAATGAAGCCCGGGATTTGAATTTCCCGGGCTTCATTTGCATCTTGCCGGGTGCCGCCATTTTTAAATCCCCGCTAGTTCGGACTCCGTGCCCGCGGCTACACGCAGCACGGAGTAGATAGTTCGGATTAGGCTTCCTATTCTGAACTACTGTTACTCCTTGTGGAACAAGGTGTACCGTTAGTTCGGAATAGGACGCCTAATCCGAACTACCTACTCCGTGCCGCGTGTAGCCGCGGGCACGGAGTCCGAACTAGCGGGGATTTAAAAATGGCGGCGCCCAGTAAGATGCAAATGAAGCCCGGAAAATTCAAATTCCGGTCTTCATTTGCAACTTCGGTTGCCTACATTAACCACCCTAGTTCGAACTAGGGTGGTAGTGTAGATATATCCTTTGATACACACAACAAGCAGCTTAACTTGACCCTTTTTCATAGATGCCAGATCCTTATAATTTCCTCCTCTGCCCCATTGTGAAACCCCAGTCCTTTTGCTGTCACTGAAATGTGTTTTAAGTCAATCAGCAGTCTTCCAACAACACTCCTGCTAGGAAGGATGAGATGAACAAGGGATACACCATCACTACACGTATACACAAAACAGATTCCCACTCCTCTTAGTGGTTATCTTTCACTTTTCATAACTAACATATAGTTCTGTGAATTAGCCATACTCACTTTTTGATTGCAAAAACTGTTAGTCCTACAGTGACATTCCTTTGTCGGAACTGCTCATTCAGGATATCGAGGTTATAGGTCCCTTCCCAAACTATTGGTGCAAACCATGGAGTCATCATAAGGACGTCATTTCTCCTGTGGAAGAGGAAGTTTTCTTTAGAATCACACTGTAGAAGGTAGAAATACAGAGGCAGTTGCCTTCCCTACATTTAGAAAGACACCACCAGATCCATGTGTTAAAGTTCAAAAATAGATAACTAATAGTACAGAAATACACAAGTCCACAAACTCATGTGACATTGTACAATAAGGCTATATAATTAACAGGTTATTGGAATCTCTCTGGATTAACCCTTTAAGATTTAGTAATAATATAAGAAACTATCAGCTAACTAATGGTGCACTGCACTGGCATCTATCCATCATGCATAAAGTTTGTAACTGAATAAAAAATCTTGGGTTGTATTTTGTTTAAAGATCCAGGTGTTTCTGAAACTTTGTATGAATATATTAACAAACGGACAATCCAGGGAATCCAGGAATCCAGACCAGTCATCTTAACTTCTGTACCCAGAAAGATAACGAAACAAATAATTAAGCAATCAGTTTGCAAACTTCTAGAATATAATAAGGTGATAAGTAACAGTCAGCGTGGATTTGTCAAGAACAAATTGTGTCAAACATAACTGATAGCTTTCTTTGACAGGGTAACAAGTCTTGTGGATGGGGGAGAGGGGAAGCAGTAGATATGTTTTATCTTGTCTTTAGTAAAGGCTTTTGATACTGTCTCACATGACCTAGGGAAATACAACCTAGCTGGAGCTACTATAAAGTGTGCACATAGTTGGTTGGAAAACTGTTCTCAGACAATGGTTCATAGTCACGCTGGAAGATCATAATGAGTAGAGTTCTTCAGGGATCCGTTCTGGCTCTGGTTTTGTTCCATATCTTCATCAATTATTTAGATAATGGCAGAGAGTACACTTATAAAAGTTCTGGATGATACCAAGTTGGGAGAAGTTGCAAGTGCTTTGGAGAATAAGATTAAAATTTAAAATGAAAAGGACAAATGGGAGAAATGGTCGGAAATAAATAGAATGAAATTCAGTAAGGACAAATGCAAAGCACTCCACTTAGGAAGAATCAGTTGCATGCATAGAAAATGGGAAATGACTTCCTAGGAAGGAGAAGAGCACATAAGGATCTAGGGGTTATACTGAACCACAAACTAAATATGTGTAACACTGTTGCAAAAACATTGAACATAATTCTGGGATATATTAGCAGGAATATTGTAAGCAAGTCACGCAAAGTTATTTTTCTGCTCTAGTCCATATTGATTAGCCTCAACTAGAAGCATCTTTTCCAGATCTGGGTGCCACGTTTCAGGAAAGTTGTGAACAAACTGGAAAAAGTCTAGAAAAGAATGTCAAAAATTATTAAAGGACTAGCCCAGTGGTCCCCAACACGGTGCCCGCGGGTGCCATGGCACCCACCGGGGTATTTACATGCGCCCGCCAAGTGCTTGGGGGGTTGTTTAAAAAAGGAGGAAGAAAAAATATTCTTCTTAACCTCTGAAAATAAATAAGCAAGGGAGATTTAGGTTGGAGATTAGGGAAACTTCCTGTCAGGTGGTTAAACATGGGAATAAATTGCCTAGGGAAGTTGTGGAATCTTTATCATTGGAGAGTTTTATGAGTAGGTTAGACAAACACCTCTCAGGAATGGTCTAGTATATATTTAAGCCGTGTCTACACTGGCAAATTACAGGGCAGTAAATCAGCTCCCAGGGCTATAACTCCTAAAGTATCCACGCTGGCAAGGTACTTAGTGTGCACTCATTCCACAGTTGTTGCACTCTAGGTAAACCACCTCAACAAGAGGCATAGAGCTTTCTGCGCTGTGGCTACAGCACTGGGATGCCCATGTAAACACTTCAATTGTTTTCTGAATAGTCACAGGCCTCGGGATATGTCCCATAATTCCTCAAGTGGCCACTCTGCTCATTATTTTGAATGTGGCTCTCTGCCCTGCAGGCGCATGCATATCCCCTTTCAAAGCTCCATTTCTCACATCATGCTGATCTGCTCTGGGACACAGAGCAAGCCATTCAGTGGAAGGCTCATGCAGCTGTAGAAAGAGACAGGTGTGTGTGTGAGAGAGAGAGAGCGAGACAGAGACAGAGAGGCAGAGAGAGAGTTTGCTGTGTAGCTGTCTAAACTTACAAAGCAGCATGCTGACATCCCCCAAAACACACTGTCTCTCTCACCAATACATACCCACACACTCCTTGTCATACACTCCCCCCATCTTCCACACTTCTATTGAAAAGCAGCTGTCAGTGTAATAGGTTGAACATAGAGCAATGGGATTGGGAAACCTGCATCATGTGACACTGCCTGCCCCATGCACATTGCAAACCCTTTCCAAAGTACTCTGTGTCTAGTTGAGGAATAGCTGCCACAATGCACTACTCTCTGGGCCATTGCAAGAGCTGCTAATGTGGATGCACACCACCATCACAAGGAGCACAGTGCGGACACACAACAGCAGTATCCCTGCAGCACTCTGCCAGTGCAGTAAATCTGCCAGTGTAGACATACCCTGAGCCCTGCCACGAGTTCAGGGGACTGGACTAAAGGCACTGGTGCTGACTCCATTGATGCTCAGGGGCTGGAGCTCCCACAGGGAAAAATGTATAGGCAGCCAAGCTACTTCATCCACCCAATTACTTTTACCCACTGGTGGGCCTGCTGAGCAACACCTCTCCCATCCTCTTGGCACCCCCCACTCCTACAAACAGCTGTTTTGAAGCATTCAGGATACTCCAGGAGGAAGGGAGAGGAGCAGAGAAACAGCATGCTCAGAGGAAGAGTTGGGGTAGAGATGGAATGGGAGCAGGCAAAGCACGGTCAAGAAGAGGCAGGGCTAGACTGGGAGTGTGGGGGAATGGGGAAAGTAGGGACAGTGGTGGAGGAGAGATTGAGCACCCCCAGCCAAAGGGAAAGTCAGCACCTATGTCTCAAGGTCCCTTTCAAGCCTTTGGTTCTAAGTTCAGAAACTTCCTTAATCATTTTGGTTTCACCTTAGTCTATTAACTTTAGTTATAAGTTGGAGGAAACAAAAACACTTAGTTTTAGTTTTACTTACGGTGGCTTTAGAACCTGTGGCTTTGCGTAAATCATTCTAAAGGGAAAAGATGAAAACAAAAATTATTTCAAGTTAAAGAACGATTTTCATAGCTGTTAAAAAAAATCCTTCTGGAGTTTACAGCTAAAAGATTCCCCCCACTCAGGGACCAATACTCAGGACTCTCCAGGAAAGGATTTTAACTATACCTCTTGCTTGAGTTTAAATCCTGGTTCAGGTCACAAACGAACATGAGTTTAATGGTCTCTAATATTGGTTCTGATCACAAAACTGCTACATCGATGCTTAAGAGAGGCTCAGAGGGAGATAGCAAAAGTCAGGAATGATGTGCATTAGAAAAGCAGTGTGAGCATGCAGGATTGGAGAAAAATTTTGTAGATGGGTAATGGGCACATTTATAGAGCAGTGGGTGTGGCTCAAAGCTTTAATAATAGAAGTGCAGGCTGGTAACATTCATAGAGGGAAATCCATTATATCACTACTGAGAGGTAGGTAATATCCAAGTTTCTCTAAATCTCAGTGTCATCAGGCTCTCCTGACAATTCATAATACACAAACGCCATGCTAAGCCATAGTACTGGAGTTCCACAAGCATAAATGAGCATCATTCAGGAACCCCAGAGCTCTTCTGAAAGCAGATCAAATGCTTAAAAGAAACTAAATAAAGTTCTACCTTGGTAATTCAATTTCCAGCAAGTTCTCCAAGAGGTGGGTACGGTTGCTGTGGAGGAAGAGTAATGGAAGTTTGGTTTACAAGAAGACAACATGAAAAAGAAAATAACAAATCCAAGAAATCATTGAGGGTATGTCTATATTACCGCACTAATTCGAACTAACTTATTTCGAATTAGTTAAGTCGAGCTAATTCGAAATAATGCATCTAGACCCAAAAACTAATTCGAATTAGCATTTTGCTAATTCGAAATAGCACGTCCACACTGATTGGACGCTGGGTCACATTTAAGGGCAGCTGAAACCGGTTCTGGCAGGGCATCAGATCTGTAGCTGCTTTGTGTGGCTGCTGTCTGAGGCTATCTGAGGCTCGTGCTTTAAGGGACCCCCCCGGACAGCCAGATCTCAGCTTTTTCACTTGCTTGCCTACCTCTGTAAGGACAGCAAATCGTTTTCCTCTCTGCCTGCCTGTGTCTGTGGTTCCCATTGGGGACGCCGCTGCAGTTGGCACCATGGAGCCAGAGCTCACCCTGGGCCTTCTGCTCCAGTTTTTGGACTTGCTACTGCAAGCCTGCCAGCTGGAGGCTTCCTGGCACCATCTGGTGCACATCAGCCCCCAGCCCTTCTCCCTGGCCTCCCTGGAGGCCGTGGAGGAGTTGCAGCAGCGTCTGGACACCAGCAGCAACTGGTGGGACACCTTCCTGGAGCTCTGCAAGTGGCTCGCCCCTGCTCTGTGGCGATGGGACACTCGCATGAGGCCCGCCATCGCCCTGTGGAAGCTCTCCACGCTCATGCTGGACAGCTACTGATCCGTCGGAAACCAGTTCGGCGTGGGGAGATCCACCGTCGGAGCGGTGCTCATACAGGTATGGCACTCGTCGGCCACTGTGCCGGGGGGAGAGGGGGGCTGCTAGGAGGGGATGGGCCGCCCCAGAGACAAAGGGGGGGGCGGGGGGGGGGGCACGGG